TTATAATCGTTTAGGATGTGGGTGGGGGTGTGGGTGGGTGTGGATGTGGGTGGGTGTGGGGTGTGGGTGGGTGTGGGTGGGTGTGGGTGTGGGTGGGTGGGTGTGGGGTGTGGGTGTGGGGTGTGGGTGTGGGTGTGTGTGGGTGTGGGTGTGGGTGTGTGTGGTTGTGGGTGTGGGTGTGGGTGTAGATAAAAACAAGACACACACCCACACCCACACCACACCCCACACAAACACCCACGCGCACACCCATCCATACCCACACCCACACTCACACCCACACCCACACCCACACCCCCCACCCACACTCACACCCACACCCACACCCACACCCCACACCCACACTCACACCCACACCCACACCCTCATCGTAATTGATAAAAAAGCGAACACCATTGACGAAATAAATCTTTATCGGTGATATTAATTACATGAAAAAAAATTCAGCAGTCGATCTTTATTTCATAAAGATATATGTTATAGTATGTACTGAATGTGTTGATATACATAAACAAGACTATTTCTTGATAATTAACTTTCGGCCAGCAATGAACAAAAAAAGGTCGTGAGTAGGAATACTATCTTATTGAACTGCCATTGATTTGTTGATTAGAATTTGTGCAAAATCCAACGGACTATTGGAGCATTTGTAAGAAAGAATAGGGTTAAAATTATAACATAGTACAGACAAAGAACAATGAATGCCGCATATTGACATATCTTTTGACAAATGTTAGGTTGATTATTGCATGGTAATGGAAACCCAAGTAGACCAACACCAAAGAGGAAACCCACTAAACCACCACCGAAATGAGCTGAGTGTGCCACATTGATTCTTAAAATAATTGGTACAATTATTGTGACAACAATAGGAAGCAAAACCAGCAAGAGTAAATACATGAGAATTGAAATCTGACGATCGCTATTCGTTTGCATTGCATTAAAACGATCAACAGTCAAGAATAACATTAGACCATACACAGAACCAGAAGCTCCAATACTGGCTAAACAAAGAAAGAAAGACAATCATTGGGTTTAGCAGTCAGTTTTCAATACTTGCTATTCATATACTGAAACATGTTGATGCATGATTTATTATGTTATGGGTGTAAATAGATATTTTTCAATTTTTCGAAAACCGTCATAAACAAAATGTATAATCATTTGAGCGAATTTTACTAATTCTCTCTTACTTCTTCATTTTTATTCTAGATTAGTTTGGATTCATTTGCTCGAACTATTCTGAGTTTCAAAAGTTGCACATTTATTACATTCTTGGAAGTATAATAATTCTTGTCAATGGTTACTTACATCTTGCTTTATTTTTTATCATAAAACTTAAACTAGAACCTAGTTCTGAAAGCCAGTAAATAACAATTATAAGAACTGAACCATATTTGCGCTCCAATGGAATACCATACAATAGTTGTTGTGATAGATTCGCAATAAGATGAACCCAATTTGTGTGAACCAAGTTACCGGTAACCAAACGCCACAACTGATGCGGATACATGAAATAAAGACAGATCTTTTTGAGTACATCATCGTAATAACATGTTTGATTCCCGATGGTTAAATAACAACTGACGGTGCGCATGCGAATATTATCAGGTGATGGTCGCATACAAGGGACGAAAAATTGGAAAAGATCTATTAAAGTTAATTGAAAATTTTGACTACTCGGACTAACATCGACATATTTTGAGAGATGAATAAAAACATGTATAATGCATATGATAATGATAAATATAGGACAATAATACTGTTGACGTGATGCATTATCAAGGTTAACGATACCCTGAAAACACAAGTATATATTGTTCTTTTTAGTAGAAGCTGATTTTTCGACTTCTATTGTTAAAGTTTCTTCCATTTCCAATGCAACGTTATTTTGGATATTCATAATCTCGATGAAAAAATACTACGCAATCTTTTCCCTTTGCTGTACCTTTGGATGAGGAATGGTAAAAAATACGCATTTTTTTTTTCTGATGATAGAATGAGAGGAAAGAGGAAGATAATAGTATTACGTTTGTGTTTTGTAGCTTGTGGTATGATTACGTTAACAAGAAAATGTTGGTTCATATTTCTTTACTCTTTTTTTGCGAAACAACGATTAAGCATGGCACGTTCTTTTCTTACAAACGTTATCTAAATATAGGCCCATATGATATAGACTCATTTTTATATAACCCATGAACCAATGAAATAAATGTAACAACTTCTATCAATTACTATCTATATGTGCCCGTGCACGTACTTTTCTTCTTTTTAAAAATGCCAAAATTATGTTTTATTTTTTTTCAACTGTTTATTATTATTAAAAATTAGAAGAAGTATAGTTTTAATCGCTGAACAACGATAGTTAATAATAAAAAATTTATTTTTATGAATTAATATATTTTTTTGTTTTATCTTTTATTAGTTGATCTGAAAAATAATTTATTATTTATCTTCATCGTAGGTTGAAATAGACGGAAGTTAAATTAGGTTTTTTTTGGTTGATTTATCATTTTTCTTCAGGCAAATTCTAGCATTAGTTGACACGATTTCAACTTTGCTTCATAATTCTTAAAACTATTATTTTATGTGTTTATTCTAATCTTCACACTTTTATTTAAAATGCCATTTTATATAAATATTGGCCGTTATTCATTGTTATTTTTAATTTCAAAGCAAAATGAGAATTTTAATTAAAACTTGTATTTTTTTTTGGCATTGCTACATTTTTATCAATGAATAAAAAGATAAAGAAAACATACACATCTTGTTCCTTTACGAAATCTTCTACAATACAAAGTAGAGCATTGAGAATACTGAAGATCTTACATAGAGAAGGATAGTCAAATAAAATCAAGAGTGAATCAATGGGAAGCATAAAAAGAGATTCGCGCACTTTTCTGCTGGCGTCAACTTTCGTGCGCGTACCTAAGCATCTTGAACGTAGGTGTGGCTGTGAGTATAAGTATTGTATGTGATCAAACCCACACACACCCAACGATGGAATTGCGCAGATTCTAAAAGAAAATACACAAGTTTAATATTTGAGCATTCTTTTTTCTGACTTTGTTAATTTTCGCTCAATACTAAATAGTCATTGTTTATTTAAGAATTAAATCTTCGTCATCTGCACGAAATACAATATATGGATACAGTAATATTAATTACGAAACATTGTGACGACGATACGAAAACCTTTCGTAGAATCAAATTTTCCACAAACGCTGCCGATCATGTAATGAGTATCTGGTTGTGGGCTTTATCACATTCTATACTCACACTTATTCAAGAAAAAATTCGAACGAATTCAAGCTTTGATTGATAACCAATTATAAAATGAACCCCATCATATCTTACGTATATAATACTTCATGAAAAATTATATATAGTGAAAAAATATTTTCTTCGGATTTTATTTCTGCTGCACTACAAAAATAAAAATAATGAAAGAATTTCAATCTTTGATATTCTTTCCTATCTTCATCAACAATAATTCAAAAAATAAATATTCGTGCACTATCTATCAGTACATTTACTCTATTTTATGTAGGATTTTATGAAGAAATAATATGAATAAATTAACATCGATGTTGAAACGGTATAGAAAACAGGATATGAAATTAAAAGTATTCTTCATTGCAATGAACTAGTTTCCATTCAAGTTGTCATATTCATTTATATATTTAATGGAGATTACAAGTGACGCATTTCGTATTAGATATTCACAGATTCATCGTGGAAATGATTCCTAAGTATTAACAAATTAATAAAAATAATGAACTATCCTAAAGACTAGTACAATGCTTAATTTATTTCACACGAGAATTCCTCTATAGAACACCTAGCCATAATCATCTTTTCAAATTTAATGTATAAATGAGTCATGGGAGCTTAATTAGAAATCAAATTAAGAAAGGAATAATGAATGAAATCAAGCTACAACAAAGGTGACTTATATGGATCAATTAACGATTAAGTTTATAAGTTAATCTTTCTTTAAAATATTTGTTTCATATAAAGAGTCATCGTAAGGATACTACATCATTTAAATTCATTATAAACCTCTTATGTAATCATAAACACTTGTAAGAAGAATACAGATTAAGATATTACCTGTGGTTTCACAGTAATGAAATGATTCTTTATTATTTTCCGACATGAATAAAATATCATAAAGTTATTTTCAATGAAATAATACAGTTTATCTAATAAAAAAATGACTTTACTAGTAACATCACAATTTAACAATAACATAAATCGGTTTATATAAATATGGGAGTGTGTGGGTGGGTGGGTGCGGGAGCATGTTTCTCAGAATATCCACACCCACACCCACACCCACAACTATTCTTTATCAAATCTAAATCTGAATCATGTAAAATTTTGATTCCAGACTTGCACTGAACAGTAGTTACACGGTACACACAGGGCTTAATTCTATAGACAAAATCTGTGTCATTAATCGAACAAAACACTTTGGAAACCATGTCTAGTTAATCTATGAAAGACAATTTGATTTGAGCTTCCGACACTATTGCAAGTGCTTGAATTCTAATGGGAAATAACCTAAGGGATAATACGTTCTAGTTTATTTCGTGTCTATCACTCACTTGTGAAGAATAATCGATCTCTAGACATTGTAGATTACTCAACTATATATGGTTTGTCAAGTATAATCAGAATAAATATAATGAATTCTGTCGAGGGTCAAGTGAGTCGCACCAACGAATGTTACTTGTTAATTTTGAATTAGCAACAAAAGTGCTTTGTAAAAATACTGACATAAGACATACTTTTCTTAAGGACATACAGAGAGTTTTAAAAAACCTATTTAGTTCATAAAAACACACAGTTTCTCTTTCGTGCAGCATCAAAAAATACTTCATGAGACAAGACTCGATCCTTTCAAATGCATATACGTGAAAAGTAATTTTAATTGAAACATCGCTGAACGTATAACATCAGCAACAGTTTTTCAACCCTTTCAGATTGCTGTCTTTTCAGCTTGTCTTTTGTGCTTTTTTAACTTCATGGATATCTTTTAAAGTTTCGTTGCCTTCTTCATGATCATCGGGAGATTTGGATTGAAAGATTTGTCGAGCCTCTTCTAAATATTTCATGGCTTCTTCGTAATTTTTGAGCTTAAAGTTCATCATACCAATGTTACGAAGAGTGATTCCAACACGTGAATTATCAGACAAATACATTCTACGTCCAATAGCTAACTGTTTAGAATAAGAATTTAGTGCCAGTTGGAAGCTTTCATTCTCTGCATGAAGATCACCAACATGCTGTAGGCAGTACCAAATCTGTTTTTCTTCGGGTGGGCTACACTTTTCCAATATCGTTAAAGCTTTTTCGTAGTAGGCGAGAGCTTTAACATTATCATGACTTTCTCGATAAATATCGCCGGTAGTAGAAAGTAATCTCCCGATAGATGGTTGTGTTTCATCTAATTCTCCGTTTAAGACATCCAATTTCTTTTTGGAGAAACTTAATGCTGCTTCGTAATCTCCTTTTCCACTGTAGGCTTTTACAATCACACGAAACATATCAGGCATTTGTCGATGTGTAGGTGGTAACGTTTTTTCAAAAATTTCAAGTGCATCAAAATAATAGATTAGGGCTTTGTCGTAATCCTTTAAATCATTATAAACTAAACCAATATTCTTGAATGTATCAGCGATCAGCCAGTGTCCGCTCGGTAGTAGGCGCTGTTTCATTTCTAGTGCTTTGGTAGAAAAGTCAAGTGCACTGCGTAAATCTCCTTTGCTTCGATAGCATTTTCCCAACATTTGTAGACTTTTGGCAATAGACATATGATCTATGTTTCCATAGTTTTCACCATAGATATTTAAAAAATCTTTGTAGTAATTGATGGCTTTTTCATAGTCACTTGTCTCATAACTAACAGAAGCCATATTCTTTAGCGAATCACCAATTTTTGAATGATTTGAATGAAAATGATCCTTTCTAATGTCATACGCACGACTGTAACATTGTAATGCAGCCGAATGTTGGGCTCTTGTCATATTGATATGACCCATTTGAACTAGAATATCAGCTTCCAACAAAGAGTTCTTCTCAGTTGTTTTCATTAACAAGTTAAAGTATTTTTCAGCTTTCGTCAATTCATTCATATCAATCAAAAGACGACCAAATATAATTGAAACGTCCATATCTCCGTAGTGTTTCTTTGTAAAATCAATGTACTCTTGAACATCTTTCATCCCTTCATCAGTGGCAGTCATTCTCACTAACCAGCAGCGCATCTCGTTGGAAAAAGTGACACTTTCAATCTTGAAAATTGCTCCAATGCTAAAGAGAACTTCATGTTCTTCTTTCTTAAGACTTAGCCATTCAATATCGGCAAACACTACCGACTTTACAGTGCTATCAGCTATAATTTCAAAGAATACTTGTTTTAATTCATTACATTTGCCTTTAGCATGTTGAAGAAAGTCTGTTGCAACCTGTTTGACAAGACTTGTTGAGAAGAAGCCATTTGTAGAAATAAAATTACCGACGCCATGACCTAGTTTATTTAACTCTTCATCAGACATAACTTGTCCACGGTACAGTATCATTGTTCCAACATTCTTCTGACTTTCTTCTTTAAGCTGCTTATACAGATCGATGATAAAAAAGCGAAAGAGATAGAGTCCGTCGATGTCTTCTGTACGTAGGGCTTTGTTTACAAGACGATAGACGAAGAACGACTCTGTATACCAGGCAATAGCATCCTTGGGTTGGTAGTCCTTTCGAAAACGTTTAATATGCTCTAGTTCTATTGGATTTCCTCTGTAATATTCTTCACATTTAGCCAATATTTCGTTCTTAGCATCTTCTATCTGTGGAAATTCTGTCAAAACACTGAATAAAAGTTGGAACCACAGAAAAGACGCAGCTTCTTTCGTAATATCACGCGAAGCCTTTTGTTTTTGGTTGAAGAATGAGAATGCCATTGTTTGTTTTGAAATGAGACTTAGTTGCTCACCGATAGATTTCATTAGAGACTTTTGTTCTGTGAAAATGTCAATAACTTTTGTTGGATAGTCTTGTTTGAGATGTTCGTATGGTAATGGGTTTGAGCAAAAGATGAAGACAGAGTCAAGTTGAGGAAGAGATGAGACTTGAGGTAGAACATCTTTTGAAAGTGAACCAGAGATGATAAGTAGAACCCTTTCTTTGTCGACTGATTTGATGCAGTCAATACATGGTTTCGAATCAGTAAAAGCCAGAAGAAAATCATTGATCTGTCTAAGTAAGACAAGACTCTTTTTACAATCTTCATTAGTATCATCAATGAATTGATCTAGCCAGATGAGTGTGACATTTTCAAGATTTTCGACTGCTTGTTCTTGACGACATGTAGGGAGATGATCATTTAATGTTGAAGCTCTAGTTGGTGGATTTGGAGTGTCAGTATTAGAGTCGTTTGAAGGTTGCACAGTTCTATTGTTTATACAGCCCATTTCTTTACCACTGTGACAAGCTGCACAAAAGTAAAATAAGATGTTTTTATTGTGAAACCGTGTGTGTACTGCTTTTTCTATTCCTTCGTTGATTGTGCAGAAAGAATAACACCTAGGGGTGTCGTATTAGAATTAATCATTAATGCTAATGCTTTGGCATTAGCATTAATCGTTAATACTAATGCTTGGGCATTAATGGCATTAGTATTAATTAATGCATAGGTGTGGCATTAAATTAGCATTATTTTTAATGCTAAAACATTTACTTACGAGGGAAGGTCCCCAACTGATCAATCGCTTTTGCCTCGAGGCTATGTGCATTATGTAGGTATAAATGAGCTATGAATACCCTAAAAAAAGTTTGGGCTGCTAGCTTGTTGGTACGAAGATAC